ATGGAAATTCCAAAACACTTCATTGTGCTCATGAAGAACCGGTACATAGATCAGGAGGCAGTCATTTCAATAGAACAAGGAGATACTGAATGGTTTAAAATCAGGAAAGGTGTGTGCCAGGGCTGTATCCTTCACCATATCTATTCAACCTGTATGTTGAGCAAATAGTCTGAGAAACTGAATTATATGAAGAAGAATGTGGCATCAGGATTGGAGAAAGACCAACTATATGCGATATGCAGATGACACAACCTTGCTTGCCGAAAGGAAAGAGGACTTGAAATACTGATGAAGATCAAGGCCACAGTCTACAGTATGGATTGCACCTTAATGTAAAGAAAACAAAATTCCTCACAATTGGCCCAATAAATAACATCATGATAAATGGAGAAAAGATTGAAGTTATCAAAGACTTCATTTTGCTTGGCTGCCCTGTCATTGCTCAGGAAAGCAGCAGTCAAGAAATCAAATGATGTGTTGCATTAGGCAAATCTGCTGCAGGAGACCTCTTTAAAGTGTTTAAGAGCAAAGATGTCACTTTGAGGACTAAGGTGCCCCCAGCCCAAGTTACAGTACTTTCAGTTACTTCCTGTGCATGTGAAAGTTGGATAATGAATAAGGAAGACTGTAGAAGAATTGATGCATTTGAATTATGGTGTTGGAGAATAATACTGAAAGTAACACAGACTGTCAGAAGAAGAACAAACACATCTGTTTTGGAAGAAGTACAGCCAGAATGCTCCTTAGAAGCCAAGATGGCGAGACTTTGTTTTTCATTCTTTGGACATAATGTCAGGAGAGACCAGTCCCTGGAGACAGACAACTTGCTTGCTATTCCGGTTACAGCAGCACTAAGAAATGAAAACAGGCGTGTATCTCAAGTCTCACTTGCTCTATGGAGATTAGCTGTCCCCACAGCTTCAGTGTTCATGTGGAAAGGTTGTATGGAGAAATGGGCATATATGGATAGTATTTCATGGATACAACACTCGAGGAAAAAAATGTGAGAGAAAAGTATAACTCGCTCATGTCCTTTTATGCAAAAAGTTGCAAACCAATAATCTAAGGCCAAGTTCAACATAAAGATGTGTTTTCTTTGGCTTGGAAAATGCTTTTTGGATGTTGGCTATTAAGTCAAATTTTTTAAAAAACAACAAAAAACCTGGAACTTACACAAAAATTTGAACTTCTGGTTTCCTCTAAAAGATCACGGCATCTGGCAATGCTGGGTTGTATTTCAATAGGCTTTTGCTAACCACTGTAAAATACAGTCACCTGAACAAACACTTAGGATTTTGCAAGATTCTGTGGGTCAACTGGCAGGTCTTCTGATCAGAGTCAATTTAGCAATCGCTATATACATCTGGAAAAGGAGCTCTGGTAGCGTAGTGGTTACGAATCGGGCTGCGAACCTTAAGGTCAGCGGTTCGAAACTACCAGCTGCTACGCGGGAGAAAGATCAGGCTTTCTACTCCCGTAAAGATTTACACCCTCGGAAACCCTGTACAGGGTCGCTATGGGTAGGATCCGACTCGATGGCACTTAACAACAACAACAACATATACATCTGGAACTGGATGGCCTAGGCGAGACTTCCTCATGTGTCTTGGCCATGGGCAGCACCTTTATCATGGGGTGGTCAAAGTGTTCCCAAGAGCAAGCCTCCATGCACACATACTTTCCATGCCTCTACTTGTGTCACATCTGCTAATGTCCCATTGGCCAACACAAGTCTCCTGGCCAACCCCAGTTTCAAGCAGTAACAAAATCAACTCCACCTGGTGATGTAAAAGAGTTGCACGGGCACATTGCAAAAGGGCCCGTATCTGGGAAGGAAAGAGTTTGTAGCCAACATTAGCTGGTGGTGGACAGTTATGCACCTCTTTGGGCAGGGCATGTGCCTTCCACGTCACCACAAGCCTCATCCCCATCTCCCACCCCTAATCATTCCTACTGGTTTTAAGCTACTTCCTGATCTCTATGGGCATTTTAGCTTGTGACCACCTGTATCTCTTTCCCAAGCTCTCCTGGAAGGTCATTTTCACCTTGCAAAGAATTTCTCTATGAATTGTTATAAAGGAACACAAGGGGAATCAAGAGTCCAAAATCACGGTAACCCAGTTTAAGAATAAGAACATTCTAAAAGATGCTCATAAAGTGTCAAGAGATGGGGCAAACAACGGTCACAAAGAAATAGTACAGGACATGGGCTTTCAGCCCTGGGTGCACATTTGACTCATAATGTCCAGGTCACATTCCATCAGGATCTCAAGAGCAGGGCTTGAACCCTAAAAGTTCCCCTGGTGAGTCTAACAAACTATAAGACTAAGAATCACTGTTGTTGTTAAGTACCGTGGAGTCAGTTCTGACTCATGGTGACCCTGCACAGGGTTTCCGAGGCTGCAAATCTTTAAGGGAGCAGAAAGCCTCATCTTTCTCACAAGGAACAGCTGGTAGTTTTGAAAACTGCTGACCATGAGATTAGCAGCCCGATTCGTAACCACTACACTACCAGAGCTCCTTTAAGGGTCACTAGCATTGGATTATTTCTGTTTCAAAGCTGAAAGTGTTGGGAAATTTTCCAAAGGAATAGATTGCCATTTTAATAGCTACTCAAAAAACCTACAGAGAGAAAAGAGTTCTAAAAACTCCCTTGAAAGGAGACAGTGGATGTGCATTTCAGGTGACAGGGAAGGTTCTAGTTAATTGGCCCCACACTAACTTTTAAGTATGAATAACTGGGTCACCAAGCACCTGAGGGGACAATAGTTGTCCCTCTAGACTCTGTTTCTGGCTTAATGATTCAATCATTGCTGTTATCTCAGAAAACAGGGGGTGATTTGCACCTGATCCCCTGTGGAGACCTTTGAAAGTGTAGGATAAGCACTAGATGGCTAACCTCAAGGTCAGTGGTTCAAACCCACCAGCCGCTTCTCAGAAACCCTATGCAGGGTCACTATGAGTTGGAATTGACTCAATGGCACTTAACAAGAAAATACAAATATCTGGCTCCTGAAGCCATGTACTTAGCAACCATTCACACAGGGACTAGCCCAAATTGCGCTGTTTTCAGCTCTCCCAGCATTTCTAGGACAGTCTTGGTGGTGCCATGGATTAAGCGTCTGGACTACTAACCAAAGGGCCAGTGGTTCGAATCCACCAGCCGCACTACAGGAGAAGGATGAAGCTGTCTGCTTCCATAAAGGTTTACAGTCTCAGAAACCCTGCTGTTGTTGTTGTTAAGTATCATAGAGTTGGTACCGACTCATAATGACTCTGTACAGGGTTTCCGAGGCTGTAAATCTCTATAGGAGCAGAAAGCCTCATCTTTTTCTCGTGGAACAGCTGGTAGTTTCGAACTGCCGACCTTGCGATTGCAGCCTGATTCGTAACCACTATGCTACCAGAGCGCCTTTCTTTTCAGAAACCCTGGAGAGCAGTTTTACTCTGTGTCATATAGGGTCGATATGAGTCAGAATCCATATTGACTATGTTGTTAAGTGCTGTCAAGTCAATTCCTACTCATAGGGACCCTGTATAGAGTTTCTGAGGAGCAGATGGTGGGTTTGAACTGCCAAACTTGTGGTTCAAAGTTCAAGAATCCCTCCCCTATTCTGCCTGTGCCTGCTTCTTTAGGGGATAGGGGATGTCTTGTTGTTGTTGTTAAGTGCTATTGAGTCTGTTCCAACTCATAGAGACCCTGTATAGGGTTTCCAAGGAGTGGCTTAGGATGGATTTTCTAGAGAAGCAAAACCAGTGAAGCTTATATAAAAATGTTGTTAAGTGCCGTCGAGTCAGTTCCGACCCATAGCGACCCTGTACAGGGTTTCTGAGGCTGTAAATCTTTACGGGAGCAGAACACCTCATCTTTCTCCCGAGGAGTGGCTGGTAGTTTCAAACTGCTGGCCTTAAAGGTTCGCAGCCCAATTCGTAAAGACTACGCTACCAGAGCTCCTTTAAGTTTATTATCTTACAGTTGTAGAGTCCAAGGTCTCCAGCGGGAGAGAGAGAGTCCCTCCTGAATGTTCATTATATTGGGAGAAGGCCACACACCCAAGGCAGCATCCCTTCAATGGGCTGGCTGCTCATAGCCAGTTAACTATGCCTGTATTAGGTTTCATCACCATGGGAATAAGCACATCCCAACTGCCAAACTTCTGAAAATCCTGACCTAGTCAGTTGACACAAAACCCTAACTATTATAGGGGACATACTGAGCATCTACCTGTTGGTAGTGACCAACTCCTTCAGGAGACCAGCAGGCCAGGAAGAGGGAAACCAATGCACCAAGGCGTTTAACAACCCTAAGCCTGGAGCTCTGGTGTGGTGCTGTGGGTTAATGTGCCAGACTGCAAAGTCGTTTGAACTGCAAGGTCAGCAGTTCAAGCTCACCGGCTGCTCTTCGGAAACCCTATACAGGGTCGCTATGGGTCGGAACCGACTCGACGGCACTTAACAACAACAACAAGCCTGGCCCTGCAATTGGAGACTCTCATGCAGGTTACCAGAGCCCAGATGGAAGAGGCAGAATTATGCTGCACCCCCTAGAGATGAAAGGGGGCAGTTTAAGGATACAGATAGTTGGGACCTCAATACTCTTGAGCTCCCAAACTCTTCACAACAAAAAGGAAATGCAGCACATTTGAATGGACCCTGAGAGAGGCCTGAAGTCTGGCTGTCAGCACCATGCCTCAGCTACTGGGCCCAAGGCCTGTATTGTCTCCCATGACTTCATGACTACAAATGGAGTGTGATTTATCATCCTCACCTTACAGATTAAGAAACCAGAGGCTCAACAGGTGCCCTCCCCGCTTCCCATCTTCTTGTAATTGATGGCTCAGATTGCCTGCCCTCCTGTCGTTGGAGTCCTGCCTCACTCTCCATTGTATGAATTCGTGTCTAAGGAAAGGAAACAGCCCAAGAAGGGCTATGTGGAAGTTTCAAGTCTCCCAAAGCTCGGGAGCGAAAACAAACCTGGGCCGACTGTGGAGCCCACCTGCTTTCTTCCGCAGGCGTCGGAAGAGCCAAGGCTGCATCAGCACACTCAAACCCCACTTCCTGCGGCCTTCATCCCGGAACTTTTCCTGCAGGGGACCCGCTGGGGGCGGTTGTTTTCCTGCTGACTTGGCGCGAGGGGACCAGCCTAAGGCCGCGCAGGAGTCTCACCATCAAGACCAGAGAGCTGATCCCGACTCGGTCCCGGCGGCGGAAGGCTTTCCCTCCCCCCCCCCATCCCCCGCAGGCCTCCGCGTCGCGGGTTTGACAGATCTCCTAATAACTCCAACATACGCGACTGCCTCCCGGGGTCGCGAACCCACTGCGCGGCAGCAGGCTGAGCGCGCCTCTCGCCGCTAACAGCCGGAGAGTGCTGGGAGTCCCGGCAGGGGCCTGTCAAAACCCGGGCCCAGAGAACGGAGTGTGTTTCTGGCCCCGGGACCCCACACTGTACTAGGGTCGGGCCTCATACCCAGCAGCCGGAGATGGTGGTTAGCGGGTTCATTTTCTACCAGGCATCCCCGGAAGGCGCCGAGCGCCGGGAGGCGTTGCCGTCCGCAGCCGATCGCCAGCCTTTAGGGGGTTCACCTCTCACTAAGCCCCGGGCAGGCATCTGAGTGGTGCGGGAGGGCGAAGACTAGGCGCGACAGAGGAGCCTCGCTCAGGAGCACCCCTTACCTCCTGTGTGCACAGCTCTTCTGGGGGCTGCGGGCCCTGACCGCATACCCCCGCAGCTCGACGGGCCCCGGGCATCGCGGCTGCAGCGCGCCGGGGTGGATGCGTTGACTGTCTGGGGTTGCCGCGGCGGACTCTGCCCTCGACCCGCGGAGCCCAGGAGTCAGTGGGGCTCTGCTCTGCCCTTCACGTGACGACGGAGGGGACCGCCTGCAGCAGCCCGGAGGGCGGAGGACCGTCAGCTTGGGTCTGCGGACTCGCGCGCCCTGGCCCCAGCCTCGCCCAGCCTCTAGGCTGCCCGCCAGAGTCGGGGGCGGGGAAGCGAATCCCGCAAGGCGGGGACCTGGAGGCTCCAGGGGCGGGCAGTCAGAGTCTGTGGCCAGGAGGGCGCCTGAGGGAAGATCTTGGGCTTGCAGAAGTCGGGGTGAAAGGCCACCGTGGCAAATGGCACCGACTTTGTGCCCTTGGGCATGTGAATGCGTCTAGCTCTCTGTATCTGCCACAGGGGTGCCTTGAGAATGAAATGAGCTAATTTGTGTGCAGTGGCTAACCCCTGTCGAGTACCTAGTAACTGTAGATTCCTTCCCGTCCTACTGGAACGCCAGAATAGCTGGGTGTGGACTCTCTAAGAGTGGGGCTCCTGGAGATGGGGGGTGAGGGTTGGAAAACACAGATGACTTCGGATCGAAGGGCGCATACGTACCCCCTCCCTCAGTGCGCCCAGTTCCAGCTTGACCAGGAACTCAGAGTTGCCACAGTCTGCTGGATTTTCAAGAGAAAAACAGACATCTAGACTTTCATGAGACTCTTCCTGATTTTTTTTAATGTTGATCATGGATTTACTAATAATAATCGATATTTTCTGGCCAATTCTGACATGGCAATCAATCCTGTGTTCCTAGGCCAACCACCTTCCTGACCCCACCCAGAGAATTAAGAGGCCTGGAGGGGCCTCTCGTGCTGGTCACCTAACTGGAGGCAGGGTGTCACGCTGGGTGGTTCACTGGGGCCCCGTGATAGGTGCTGATGGCTGACAAGGTCCAGGTCAAGGGCAACCAGAGTGATGGTCTCAAAAAAGATGTCTAATTCCTAATTCTCCCACAGTTTCTAATTCCTGGAATTGTGATTCTGTTACCTTACACACCAAGAGAGACTTTGCAGATGTAATTAAGGTTGATCTTAAAATAGGAAGATGGGCCCGCCATCTATGTGGGCCTAATGAAACTACATGAGTCCTTAAAGACAGAAGAGGAAGGCAGATTGGTTTGAAGTATGAAAGTGTTGAATGGTGTTGAATGTGTTGAATGGTGATGCTGTTGCCTTGAAGATGAAGAGGAACTGCAAGGAACTGAATTCTGTCATCAATCAACCTGGATGATTTTGCAAGCCCATTCCTCTGGAGAAAGGATGCCCCTGCCAACACTTTTTTTTTTTTTCCTGAGACCCATAATTTACTGGCCTTCTTATCTAATAATAAATGAGTTTGGTTTTAAGCTCCTAAGTTTGAGGCATTTTGTTATGCAGCTATAGAAAATGAATACAAGCTACTGGCTTGCATTTCAGCACTTGGTAAAGTGGAGGGTCAGCAAAAAAGAAAAGAAAAGAAAAGAAAACCCACAACAAAATGGATTGACACAGAGGCAGTAACAATGGTCTCAAACAAGGCAATTGTGAGGATGGTGCAGGCCCAAGCAGTGTTTTGTTCTGTTATACACAGGGTATCTGTTAAATGGAATCGACTTGATGGCACCTGCTCTGGTAGTGTAGTGGTTACGAGTCAGGCTGTTAACCTCAAGATCAACAGTTCGAAACTACCAGCTGTTCTGCAGGAGAAAGATAAGGCTTTCTGCTCCAGTAAAGATTTATAGCTTCGGGAACTCTATGCAGGGTGGCTATGAGTTGGAACCAAATCCACGGCACACAACCACCTCCGCAACCAGCATATTATACAGCTGAGAAGACAGATGAGACATATTTATATGGCGGTGGTGGTGTTGGTGGTTATGTGCCGTGTACCTGTTCTGACTCACAGTCTGTTCTGACTCACAGTGACCGTGTACAGGGTTTCCAGGGCTATAAATCTTTATGGGAGCAGAAAGCTTCATCTTTCTCTAGCTGATAGAAAAATATCTGCAAGGTCTGGAGGATGTGCAGAACCCTGCCAAGATTATAGTCTCTTTTTTGTAAAAATGTTTCAATGATGAATATACCTATATTTTCTAATAAATGCATAAAAAAATTTTTCTGGAAAGGAACATAATTGTGAGTATAAGGTTGTGTGTCACTTGACTGGGCACTGATTCTCAGTGTTTTGAAAGTTACGTTGTGATGTGATCACCCTCCGTTTTATAGCCTGATGTAATTGTCCTCCATTGTATGATACTGCATTTGTAAATGCTAAATCTCTATGTGATAATGAAGCAGGATTAGGATGGGTGGATCTTGAGTCTCAGCTTTACAAAAGGGTATGACTCAAGTCACTACCTTTATCCTTCCCTTCATTGCCTCATCGGAGGTAAGGGAGTTTCTTTGAGTGTGTGGTCTACATCCAATAGATATGGAAACTCTGGCAAAGCTCTTTTGTTCTAGATCTTGCCTAACTCATCATCATTTGACCTTCAGTTCTTGGAACTTGAGCCAGAAGCCTATCATCTGACCAGCTGTTTCTGTGATTCACTAGCTTCTACAACCTGTGAACCAGAAATATGTTATCTGACCTTCCAATTTGGGATCCATTAGAGTGTGGCACTGTGGGCTTATGTGTCAGACTGCAAAGTCATTTGAAATGCAAGGTCGGTGCTTCAAGCTCACCAGTTGCTCCATATCAAGAGGCAGCATATGATCAAGAACCAATGATGCTGAAGGAAGAAGTCCAAGGTGCATTGAAGGAACTGGCAAAGAACAAGGCATCAGGAATTGATGGAATAAAAACTGAAATCTTTCAAGAAAGTGAGGCAGCACTGGAGGCACTCACTCATCTATGCCAAGAAATTTGGAAGACAACTATCTGGTCAATTGATTGGAAGAGATCCATATTTGTGCTCATTCCAAAGAGAGGTGACCCAATAGAATGTGGAAATCATTGGACGATCTCTTTGATATCCCACGTGAGTAAAGTTTTACTCAAGGTAATACAAAGACAGCTAGCTGCAAGCATACATTGACAGAGAACTTCCAGAGGTTCAAGCTGGGTTCAGAAGAGGATGTGGAATGAGGGATATCATTGCTGATGTCCGATGGATCTTGGCTGAAAGCAGAGAATACCAGAAAGATGTTCACCTGTGCTTTATTGACTACGCAAAGTCTTTCGATTGTGTGGATCATGACAAGCTATAGACAACATTGCCAAGTATGAGTATTCCGGAACACTTAATTGTGCTCATGAGGAACCTGTACATGGACCAAGAGGCAGCTGTTCGAACAGAACATGGGAACACTGAATGGTTTAAAATTAAGAAAGGTGTGCGACAGGGTTGTATTCTTTCACCAA